GCAGAGGTGATTTCGGCAGGAAGGGTCAAGACTGGATATACGACACGGTCGAGGTGGTACTGGATTTCAGCTCTGTTGGTTTCCAGATCCTTCAGGTGGGCCTTCTTCAGGGAAATTGACGCGTCTATGTGTGCTAGACGCTTGCGGAGGTCGTCTGTGGACATGGTGGAAGGAAAAGGCGCGTTGTTGTGGCTTGCTTGCCACTTCGATTGAGGATAAGATAAGATAAGATCTTGTTGATGAAATTCTTCATCCTCATGGTCCGTAATGTGTCGGAGTCCGTGTCGCATACACGTCGAAATAGCGCCTTTCTCCTCCCTTGACCGCCATGTCTGTCGCCGAATTGCGTATCCAGCTCTCAGAAGTCGACGAATTGATTACCCAGCAGAAGCGGGCCTTAGAGGAGCTTGAAGCCCGTCACACATCCATACGACTCCAGCTCGACTGCGTCGCTTATCCAGTTTTGACCCTTCCCTTCGAAATCACGTCCGAGATTTTCATCCACTGTCTTCCGGAACGTCCGAGTCCTATCATCGATCGCCATGACGAACTTCCAGCGGCTGCACTTGAAGCTCCCATTCTTCTCTTGCGTATTTGCAAGGAATGGAGACGCATTGCCCTCGCCGTCCCCGCTCTGTGGTCGACCCTACAATTGTCCTTGGACATCGACTCGGAAGAAATGGGGATGGCGAGGATCGCATCCCTAGGAATTAGCAGTTTGGTGGACTCGTATGATGCGTGGCTTGCACGCGCCTGCGCCCGCCCCCTTTCGTTGGGCTTCAGTGGCTGCCTGGAAGACAATCTGGACCACGCTGTGACAATCCTCACGCGTTATGCACCTCAGCTGCAACGCATAGAACTTGAATTGGAATTGGTTACCCTTCCTCAGTCTTCAGCTCTCATCACCGGCCCCATATCGTTCCCCATGCTTCAGAGGCTGAGGATCGTAATGCCCGATGCGATTGAAGATGGAGGTGAAGATGGCGTTAAAATTCGATTTTTTGCCGATGCAACACAACTTCGCGAAGTCATTCTTTGGGATGTTCACCCGGCATTTATGCAGCTTCCTTGGGACCATTTGACTGCCTTCACTGGAGAACACATGACTGTCGCTGACTGCCTGTGGGTCTTGCGTGCGGCGCCACTTCTCATCGAATGTACACTCGGCAACATGGATGACGCAGATGAGGGGCCAACGAGGAAATTAGTGTCACATTCTCGCCTCCAGAAGCTGCGACTCCCAGATTACGGGTTTCACCTTCTCAGATTTCTCGACCTCCCGGCACTCCAGGCTCTATACCTCGACGACCTCTATCTCGGGGAAGGCGATGAAAGCGGCTGGCTTTTACCATTCATCTCCCGGTCGCTGTCTTTGCACCTTTTCTCCCTCAAACTGAGACCCTACAGGTCTTCACAGAAGCCCCTCGGAAACAATTCCTTCCGCGCCATGTACAAGCTCAGGGACTTTGAGTTCCACGATACAATGCCAGACTTCGAGCGCCATTTTTTATCCATGCTCGACCGCACGAAGGAGACCGATTTTCTACCCAACCTCCGTTCCTTGTCATTTTTTAGCGACAATCATATTGTGGATTCGGAGCTTCTACACGCGCTGTCCACCAGATGCACGGGTGAAGGCATGAAATTAGAGTCCTTCCGGCTTATCTGGCCGGAGATGACGCACGTCCCGACCAGTACCCTTCAGCTTCCTTCGCTGCGGAAATTGGTGAAGGATGGGATGAAAATTCACATCGGTGCGAAGAGGAACAACCTACTCTAGACTTATACTCTTTTTCACTTACGTGCATTGTTAAAACACTTGTCCTTGGCCACGACTCCCCATCAAAATCCATTTCTTGGCACAATCTTGAACTACTTTATGCATATGCCTGCGACGGCCTTTAGTTGGCTTGACTTGAAGTTGACATGCCTTTTCCATTTCATCAACACAAGGCGGGTTTTCAGAGGTAAAAGAGAACTATCGGACGTTATGGCGGCGCGTGCAATTGGTTCCTAAAATGAGATGCGCGGCATATTGCGTATTCCTGGCTGCTCGCTGCTTATTTCTTGCTCTTTGCCGCTGAGCGCCGCTTAATTCTTGCTGCGCTCCTTGCTGTTTGCCTTTTGTATGGCATATTGACCACTCCACTGGATCTTGGCTCCGAAATTGCTTGTGCATCAGTACTAGTCAGTACTAGTTCCCCGAGGTCCCCCGCTTTCCACGCTAGACTCCGCATATTCCTGGCTGCTCGCTGCCGTTTGCTTGACGTGCAGCCAGTTTAATGCCCTCTGGAGACAAGTCACAAAACCGGAGAAGCTCGAAGAAGGTCGAGGATAAGATCTTGAAGATAAGATCTTGTTGATTAAATTCAAGCTCTCTTCCTTTGACCACCATGTCTGTCGCTGACCTGCGTGTGCAGCTTGCAGATATCGACGCATTGATTTCCCAGCATAGGCTTCTTCTAGAGGAGCTCGAGGAGCGGCGCACATCCATACGACTCGAGCTCGACCGCGTCGTTTATCCTGTTTTGACTCTTCCCGTCGAAATCACGTCCGAGATCTTCATCCACTGCCTTCCGGAACCTCCTATCATCAATGGCGAACGTGCAACTGAGCTTGAAGCTCCCATTCTTCTCTTGCGTATTTGCAAGGAATGGAGACGCATTGCCCTCGCCGTCCCTGCTCTGTGGTCGACCGTACAATTATCCATGGACATCGACTTGGAACTTGAAATGGGGATTGCGAAGATCGCATCCCTAGAAATGAGAAGTTTGGTGGACTCATATGATGCGTGGCTTACACGCGCCCGCACCTGCCCCCTTTCGCTGGGCTTCAGTGGCTGCCTGGAAGACAATTTGGACCACGTTGCGACGGTCCTCACACGTTATGCACCACAGCTGCAACACATAGAACTTGAATTGGAATTGGATACCCTTCCCCAGTCTTCAGCTCTCATCACCGGCCCCATATCGTTCCCCATACTTCAGAAGCTGAGGATAGCAATGCTTGATAGCATTGATGATAATGAGGATGGCGTTAAAATTCGATTTTTTGCCGATGCACCACAACTTCGCGAGGTGATTCTTCTGGACGGTGCATACCCGTCATGTATGCAGCTTCCTTGGGACCATTTGACTACCTTCACTGGAGAAGGCATGTCTACCGCTAACTGCATGCGGGTCTTGCGTTCGGCGCCACTTCTCATCGAATGCACATTCGACAACGTGGAAGACGACGATGTAGCGCCGGGGAAATTACTGTCACATTCTCGCCTCCAGAAGCTGCGCCTTCTTGATTACGGGTTTTACCTTCTCAAATTTCTCGACCTCCCGGCACTCCAGGCTCTATACCTCGACGACCTCTATCTCGGGGAAGGCGACGAAAGCGGCTGGTTTTTACCATTCATCTCCCGGTCGCCGGCTTTGCACCTTTTCTCCCTCAAAAGATCCTTCAGGTCTTCAGAGGGGATGCTCGGAGACGATTCGTTCCGCGCCATGTACAAGCTCAGGGACTTTGAGTTCCACGATCCACTACCGGACTTCGAGCGCGATTTTTTGTGCATGCTCGACCGCACGAAGGATACCGATTTTCTACCCAACCTCCGTTCCTTGACATTTTCGAGCGAGAATCACACTGTGGATTCGGAGCTTGTGCACGCGCTGTCCACCAGATGCACGAGCGAAGGCATGAAATTGGAGTCCTTCCGGCTTATCTGGCCGGAGAGGGTACACGTCTCGACCAGTACCCTCCAGCTTCCTTCGCTGCGAAAATTGGCGAAGAATGGGATGAAGATTCACATCGGTGCGGAGAGGAACAACCTACTTTAGGGCATAACTTTGTGGACAAGTATTCATGTTAGTCTCGGTTCCACAATCAAGTTCGTACGCTGATGTTTAATATATAGTGGGAACAGTCGGAGTACGTGCTTATTGCCAATGTCCCATCTCTCAGCCTCCCCTCTCCGCTTCACCGTGATAGTCTCGTTCGGCCGTCTGTCCGAGTCCTTCTGGGTGTAGTCAGATGTTCCTTTGTTGTGCATCCCCCTCACGTTCATTTCTCCGATCCTGACCGTACTGCCTTCAAGTTCCACTTACTGGTTAGAATACTTTGTTAATTGATCGTTATCTGCTTGCCAGTACTTCGCGTGTCCATCTGAGCCTCGCTGTGTCTGTGTTCGCGCCCCCTCTGTGTCTGAGTCGAGTCGCCATTAACAATCACATCCATATCCCCCACTTCATGATCTCACACTACACCCATCGGTCTTGAATAGCTCTGCGTAATGTCCACTTCAAATGCCTGAAATATTAATGCTTATGTCCCACATCCCGCGCTCAACTTGAATAAATCATATGAAATGCTGATAGAAAAATTAAAATTCGACCTTGTCTCCTGCGAACGGCCTCTGTCGTGACTCGGACTTCTGAGACAAGCCCGACGCGAGGCACGAGCGGCTTGGGCTTGTCAGAGGATAAGCAAAGCGTAGAGGGAATCGGCGATAGGTGTGACGCAAGCGTGACTGTCGTCACTTCTTGCTCGATCGCGTACCACCACCGCGATTCGCCTCTTTTCTTCGCCCGCCCTCCTCTTCCCTGTTTGGCTTTCCGTTGTGAGGTAGAGTTGGCTCCGCGCCTGCGGCGCGCTTTGCCGTCCCCTCCGGGGAGCTCTCCTTGCATCCAGAGTCGTCGGCCCCCCGCTCGCGCCCTTTCCCCCTGCGGCGGCGCGCAGCGCGACCATCCCAGTCGCGTCTCGCAGCCCGCCGCAGCGCGGCCGAGCGGAAGAGCCGAAGGCTCTTCCCCCCACACTACGAAACGAGGTATTCACCGCGCGTGAATCCGTTTCGCGTGTCCGTGCCGTCGCAAAGCGACGGCCTCTCTTCTCTCACTCACCGTGTCGAGACTCAGCTTAGCTTATCGAACACGGTTATTACAGTGACAGTGACGGCCATAAATAGCTTATATCATCGAACACATAATGACGACAAGTTGAGGCCAAGATTTAATGCCCCTGTTGTCTAATGGCTATGACGTCAGACTTCTACGTTAATTACGTAAATCTACGAATCTGGAGGTTGCGGGTTCGAGTCCCGCCAGGGGTTAATTTAAGGTTTTTACTGTATAAAATGATTATTTTTTAACATATTCAGTCCTTAAATTAAATTAAATTAAAATATTTACATTTAATATCGTGTCTAGGGACATACTCAGGTTATGAGGGAGAGCAACCCATCAAGGGGAACTCGGAGTACACACAGAGTAGGGCGAAAAAAAAAAGATGTACTGCATTCAATTACATGGGATGATACACCAAGAGAAAGGAAATTGACATTGATGGGCCTGGGATGACCGCAAGCAGCAGGGACTTTGCACATCCCTATGCACAAGTGATAGGGGTGTATCAGGCTTATGATGCTCTCTGGAAGATTGAAGGCAATACAGATGTCTGTCCATGTTACAGGTATGTACCAGTTCTTCTGCGACGGGTGATGGAAGTGAGCGGCCAGGCAGCGAGCATGGGAGGGATAGAGGGGATCCCCGGCGATGTTGAGAAGAGCGGTGTCCAGGTGCAGAAGAGACTCCGATGGGACAGTGTAATCATGGTAAAACAGTGAATTTTCAAAGGAAATTGGGGGTTGGTTCCTCCAAAATGTATGTTGTATAGGAGATTATGGGTTATTAGAGCCAGAGCTTCGACTGTAGCAGTGAATGGGATTTGAAGAACAATGGGGAGCGTGAGCATGCATACAGGGAAGGACAGGACGGACAGGACGGGTGAAACAAACATGAGGGCGGAGTCTAAGCCAGATCGGTACTACAAGGCCCCAAGATGTGGGCATGACCTAAATACCCCAATCGCGCAGCCTAGCGTGTAACTGGCGGAAACTTGGGGTGCCCCACAAACGAAGGGTCCGGAGCATGATCCTGAAGAGGTTACTGGGTAGTTAGAGTGGTGGTCGAAGCGGTAGAGGAGGGAACTGAGGAGAAAGAACATGTACAACGGAGTTCATGAAGCGAAACACAGAGAGGTCGCCCTGATAGGTGAACGGTAGCACCTATTTTCTTGGTCATAAACAGGCATGTACAATGGAAGAACGTGAAGTGAAGTGCACGCCTCCTCTCGGTAGGGCAGTCGCATCAGCCTGCACCCTTGATGAGTACATAGGATGCGCAGATGGAAAGGAAATGCAGGAGGAGAAGCGGAGAGGGAGGAGGAAGGAGGAGAGCGAGAAGCCGAGCGAAAGAGAATAGTCAGAACAGTTTGACCGTAAGGGAGGCGCTCGACGTCGGCATCGCATGGAAACACGATATGATATACAGTAGTATTGGTGGTGTCTGAGTCCGCGATGGCATACATTGGTGTAGAGCCGAGGTCTGCTCGATCTAAAGGGAGTCGAACGGATTTTCCACAGCCTCGCGCAAACTGTTGTCCAGAGGAAATGGGTACCAAGAATGGGCTAGCTGGCCCTGATGGGAAGGATCTGACAGCTTCGGAGAAATTGCGAGACCAGATGAAGAGCTCCTTCTCGTCGGGGCATCAGCCTCGCGGCTGCACCAAGGTCGAGCCGGAGCACGGGTGTTGAGGGACCAGTTAACTTGATTAGACACGCCTAAAGACGACACGAATATCGGGACGCTGACGTTGCGACTCGTTCGCAGGCTTGCCTAGCTCGATGTAGAAAAGAGAACAGAGATCGCCCATTGTGGCTGTGCTCCGGCAATCAAGAGGTCGGTCAATTGTCGGTCGATCACTTTTACCTGTGTAGCTTGGGTCAAGGTTTGTTGCCTTGTCCCTCGACTCAAATTTCCCCCATTCGTCCAACTAGGGGCTTTCACAATACTTTCACTGCACCTCGGACACTAACTTATCAACGCTGACCTGGCCAGACGGCGTATTTCTCCCGAATCTGGGAACTCCACAAGCACCCGAAATTGCTATTTAGCACTTGAAGCTACTTGTTCGGATCTGGGCACCTTCAGAGCTTGTTGAACGAGGCATATTCCTGGCAGTCTGGCGCACGCATTCTCCGCTCTATTGTCCACGTCATCCCGCGCAAATCCCGCACAGGACTCGCGAGAGGTTCTCCTTCAGCCAAGAAATGTCCGGCGAGATGCTTATTTCCGGCCTAATAGATAATTTGCATTTAAAATGAGCTCGCCGACGAGGAGTGAAGATGCGGTCTTCGTGTCGACCTCACCCATATCTATTCGCGGCGGGGGGCGGCCAGGCGAACACTCTCCAGTCCGTCGCAGGGACAGTCTAAGCCGCAGCGAGAGCGACTCATCACGAGTTCACCATTCCCCCACCCTTGCCCGCTCATTCGACCCCAACGACCCCCAGGTCAGAGAACGGCAGCGCACCATGGACGTCGACATGGCTATGCAGCTCTCTCGTGCCCGCAGGGAAACCATATCTCCTGCATCCGAGCCGTCAGAGAGCACGTTCCCCACTCTCTCGACTCATGAAGAGCACGACACTCCGCTTCAAGGTCAAGAAGACGAACAGCCAGATGTGGCCACACTGAAACGAGCCCCGTCATTCATGGAAATGAACCACATGTCTGCACACGATCCAGAACTCCTCGTAAACGACTCTCGAATCCGCCCTAAACCCTCCACTGGCTTTGGCGGCCTGCCCGTCTACCATCCGAACCCCTCCGAGTCCGAGTTTGATTTCACGCCCATGGACGAGTTTGCCACGGCCGAAAAGGCCGTGCTCAGCCTCGCAACTCCGAAATTTTCCCTGTCCGCCCTACGTGCGCGAACGGTCGCACCCGATACCGATGACGTCGCGGAAGGCTCAGACCCCTCGCGCCATGCCTCCCCGCAACGGAAACTCAGCCACAGCAACCCGCGGCCACGGCACGCCCGAAAGGGGGTCGGCGGCAAGTTGGCGCTGTTTGAGGGGAACACGGGCGACCCGCCTCCATCATTTGCCCTCCCACAGTCAACCACCGGCATTCCAGGCATCTTAAACACCGGCCACGACCGACCCTACCGCTTCTCATTTTACTCGAATGCGCTGTCTGCGACGATACACGCGCGCAGCCTGAGCGAGCTCCCTGCCGAGGGCCAGTCGTTCACTGATCTTTTCGCGGGAACGCCCGCGCCGCGAGAAGCATCGGCCGCACGGGACCGGCCAGATTCTGCGAAGCGTCCTGGTCCGTCTCCGATTGTGCACGAAAAATCGCGGCATACCAACTACGGCGACCCGGAATCCAACACCTGGTGGCTAGACGTGCAGAGCCCCACGGACGACGAGATGAAGATGCTGAGCAAGGTGCTATAAACGTACTTCTGCTCGCACCTCGCAAAGGTTAACATGTTGCAGGTGTTCGGCATTCATCCCCTCACGACGGAGGATATCCAGATGGAAGAAACGCGCGAGAAGATCGAGCTGTTCCGCAACTACTATCTCGTCTGTTTCCGCAGCTTCGATCAGGACCAGTACAGCCCAACGCACCTTGAGCCGCTCAACATGTACATCATCGTCTTCCGCGAGGGCACGCTTTCCTTCCACTTCCGGCCCACGCCGCATCCACAGAACGTGCGCAGGCGCATCAAGCAGCTCAAAGACTACATCAGCGTTACGTCCGATTGGATATCCTACGCGCTCATCGATGACATCACCGACGCATTTGGGCCCCTCATCCAGGGCATCGAGTACGAGGTCGACAGCATCGACGAGCTGGTGCTCATCCTCAAGGAGGCAGAGCAGACCGACATGCTGCGGCGCATCGGGACCTGCCGCAAGAAGGTCATGGGCCTTCTGCGCCTCATGGGGAACAAGGCGGACGTCGTCAAGGGCCTCGCAAAGCGCTGTAATGAGCACTGGCGCGTCGCGCCCACCTCTGACATTGTGAGTTCTGAAACCCAGCCTAACACGAGTTTTACTCACCCCGCACTACCAGGGCCTGTATCTCTCCGACATCCAGGACCATCTCATCACCATGACACAGAATCTGAACCACTACGAGAAGATCCTCTCGCGCTCACACTCCAACTACCTCGCACAAATTTCCATTGAGATGACCGACGCGAACAACCAGATCAACGATGTGCTTTCCAAGCTCACCGCTCTCGGAACCGTGCTTATCCCCATGAATCTCGTAACAGGTGGGCAGCATTCTTTATGAACTTGAACGGAGAATGACGCGACCACAGGTCTGTGGGGCATGAACGTGCATGTCCCAGGACAAGATGTTCCTGTGTGTATACAACTTTTTTTCGGGCCGCCCATTTTCTGACGAACGACGTAGGGCTATGCGTGGTTCGTCTCTATTATAGCTTGCCTAGCGGCCTTCGCCGTTATTGGCGGCTACTCCACTTATAAGTTCATGGTCAATAGAAGATAGACTGTAATTATTCCTGATAGCGGTGGCATCTAATATTGGAGTACAAAAAACAGGAGCTACGTTAACGAAAGCATAATAGCACAATAATAAATACAGAGCGACGTGTAGTACACCAGAGGAAAAACCGGGGAAAACAAACAGCGCATCGGTCATCAATCAGGCTGAGATCGCCTGAACGACATGATATTCTGGAACGGATACGGTCGGGACTGGGGAGCCGCAGCAGGGATAACGATTTTCGCCAATGATGGTGAGAGTCGCTGCGGGGAGTCCTGGGTAGATGAATTCTGCCGCTTCGGTACGGGAGGAGAGGGCGGATAATTGTTGAAGTTCGAAGGACGCTCGGGAGACGCGGGTTCGGGCGCCCGCCGCTTGGGGAAGATGGGAATAGGGTCGTGGAATGCGTGCAGCTCGTCCAGCTTGCGCTTCTTCGAGGGCTCACTGGCCTGCACCTCTGGCTGAGTGCCCCAGGGCGACCAAGGAGGTGGCGGTGGAGGAGCGATCGCGATCGCAGAAGACGAGGAGGGTGACGGGATCGGCGGGGCGTTCTTCGGGGAAGGTTGCATCTCCACATCCGCTGGTTTTGTGCGGGTATGGGGATGGTGATACGGCTGTGGACGGAAGACTGAACGAGGATTCACCGATGCACCCGAGCGACTGGAGGAAGAAGTATTATTTTCTGCCGTCGAGACCTTGACGATCTCGATGAAGAGTGTCTTCGTAAAGGGGGGACCGAGCGTCTTATA